TCAAGCCTGCCAGCTTCCAGACTGGAACTTAATCAAACAGACTGGAATTTTATCATTAGCTCTTCCAAGCCCCACCCCCACCCCCGCCGCCGCTTACTGAGCACTCAACCTGCAAATCACATGGATCAGTTCTTTATAACCTGCCTACACACATACACGCATACACAAATGCATGCTCCACAATGGTTCTGTTGATTATTCCCCTAGAAAAAAAAAACCAAATTAATGAAGTCTTGAACATTGTGTTTAAATCCTTCGTTGCTAAAAGCAAAGTGGGAGGGAAATAGGTAATATTTGGCAGAAAGGGAACTTTTGAGAGGAAATGAAAAGTATTAATTATCCCCAGAGACTTTCTCTTTCTATAATCCAGGGCTTTCCACAATATACCTCTTCAAGACATCTTTTAGCCCAAAGGCATTCAGAGAGAAATAGAGAGAGAATGTTACAATGCATTTATGAAAGAATTCTTCAGGTGTTCACACTTACAGCAGCTTTGGCTAAGACTAAATTTCAATTACCAACCATTAAGGATAGAAATGGCAGAAAAACAATCCTATTTACATACCAGTGAAGTAAGCCTTTTTTCTCCTCTAAGCCATTTCAGTTTTAAGTGTCACAGGCTCTGATTCAATGAAGAACTAATATTTGTGTTTAAAGATCATAAGTTTAAAGGCACCAATGATATACAAACCCTCAAAGACTTAATATTACAAAAGATCTAGAGATATAATGTTATAAAATTCAACAAGTAAAATAGTATAATGTGGCCTTTATTCAAGAATCAAACATGGTAGACTCATGTAATGACTTCCATAGACCTTGTAATGGCTATTCTTGGTTATCAACTTGAATATATCTGGAATGAACTATAATCCATAAATGGATGGCACAATGGTGAGAGATTATTTTTGCTTGATTTGAAGTGGGTGAACCCACTTCTAGTAGTAGGAATCTACTTCTGAGGTAGGAAGACACATGCCTTTGATCCAGATCTTGAGGCTGGAAGACACACCTTTAATCTGGGCCACACCTTCTGCTGGAAGCCTATGAGGACATGGAAACAGGAAGCTTTTGCTCTTTGGCTGCTTGTCTTGCCTTGCTAGCACATCCATCCTGTCCATCACTAGCACTGGAGCCGACTTCTTTGGATTCCCTCATATACTGAAGACCAGCCGAGACATCCAGTCTTGTGGTCTGAGCAACTGCTGGATTTTTGGATTTTCTTTTCACAGCCAGCTATTGTTGGATTAGGGGGGGACTACCACTAAATTATTTCAATAAATATCATATATGTATATAAATATCATATGTATATATATGAGAGAGAGAGAGATTCATTGTATAAGTTGTTACTCTAGGGAACCCTGACTAATACAGACCTAAAGCAGATCTTAGTGCATACAAGATCTTAATTACATGAAGAACAACAATCTTAGGAGATACTATGGGTCATTTAATGAGGTTTTAGGGCCATATTTCAAGTTAGTAATAGAACACACTGAAGTTCCAACTGCTTGAAGTAAAAAGGAGGTGGATAAACACTGATTGACTAATCTCTAGGCTTCATAGGACCTTCTGAATTTGAAGACTAAGAAAACAAATGTGATTCATGATTCAAATCCTGAATGTTTACATAAATTCATATCACACACTCACACACTGCAGACTCAGAACAAATAAATAGGAAAATATGACCAAAGTTAGAGGAGCAGCAGACACATAGGTTTAATATATGTAAGTCTGTACATTATATTTTCACTGATCCAGACAAATGTGCTCCAGAGGCCTCCATGGGAAACGGAAGAGACAGTATAAATACCAACAAACCTGTGAACCGTCTCAAGGCTTCTATTTCCACTAGTGACTAAAATTGGGTGTTTATTTCATGTTCCCTCTAATTCCTTTCTATTTCTTTATTCTCCTTCCCACTTCGTACTGCTGTTTGTTTCTCCATTTTAAGTGTTAAAACACGCCACTTCTCATGATGAGAAATACTTATGTGGCATAAAACTATTAACCATATAGATTGATAAACTTAAGTATAATAAATTCAAACTGTTCTCTTTAAGTAAGTGTAGAGAAGAAATGAAAACAAGGCAAAAATTGGGAATCTCTTAAAACAGACAAATATCATCCTGCCATCTAAAGAACTTGTAGAAAATACTGAGAAAGAGAGACAAAAACCAAGAAATAGTGTTTGAAACAGGCAGTCAGTTAGGTCAGTGCTACTACCTGAGGAAGCAAATTAAAACCTTGCTGCGGCTAACTTTCCTTCTGAGTTGTTCTATACTCCGGCAATGCTATTGGTATTGGTAAGGATTTGGGATTGATGGGACTCTTCATCATTGTGAAAATGTTTCCAAGACTCTGTTAAACAAAATTACATTATCTTTCAAACCTCAAAATGTACAATGTACATAAGCTATCATTCATCATCCCCACCTGTAGAAATTCCTTCATACATACATGAAAGTTCCTAACATCATTTCTGATACAGAGAAACTGTTAACAAGGCAAATGATCGTGAAAAGGAAAAGTGGATGGGTATATTATTTTGATATATTTCTATGCTATGCTACCAAACAGGAGTGAAAACTAACAAATTTATGTCATATACAAAATTGAAATTATCTCTGAAAACACATGGTTAGCTAAAATAGGCAAGACGCAGGACTGTATAGTATGGTGCCATTTATATGAACTTTAGAAATAAAAATTATTCATGATGAAATGTCTTCCCTGTAGCTATTTGTATTTCTTTGCATCCAGGAAGTCAAGGACATGATGGAGATGAAGGTCAAATCATGTTCACACTTGAGAAGAGTCACTGGAGGAGCTGTAATGAAGAGGTCAGTTGTATGGGTTGGATTATTTTTGAAAACTTGGTTGGAACTCCTACACAGATGTTTGATTTAACAGCCTTTTATGTATGTAATAGTATTTATTAACAATTAAATGTATAACATTAAAGGTACAGAGATAATGTTCCTTTTAAAGGTTTGATCATTTTTTGTTACTGTTAAAGTCTTATTTTTGACTAGACTCAGAAGTAGAAGCTCTCAGTGAGGACAACCTACAGACGTCTCTTGGCAATCGGTTCCTGATGATTTTCTTTGGCTTCCTTCATTCTCTTCACCAAAAGCTTAGCATATTCTGCACCCTGCACCCTGTTTTACCTAGTGTGTTATTTCTTCAAGGTAACACATAGGCGTTAGCATTACAGGACATGTGGAGTAGCAAGATTCTGGGGTACTTTAGTCCTGGGACTTTTGCCTTCTTTAAGGGCATTCTGACAACATATTGTCAGACATCATTTTCTTAGAAAGACTGAAAAGCTTTCAGGTTCTGATAGTTCTTTTGGATCCCAGCCACCAAAGTACAATAGTATCTGTCAGCCTAGAAATATCCTTCTCTCCTTTTCTTACAATAACCAATTTGAGAGCACTAAGATTGGCATCCACAAAGCATCTGCGGAGACTTGCCCCCCTCTCTCCAGTTCTTCTTGGTCTATAACAAGAATGCCCCCTTTGCGGCCCCCAACTGGATCAGGCCCTCTGAATAGGTGAGACAGTTGATTGGCTTGATCTGTTTGGGAGGCATCCAGGCAGTGGTACCGGGTCCTGTGCTCATTGCATGAGTTGGCTGTTTGAAACCTGTTTAACGCTTGGCTCAGTCTGGGAGGAGGGGACTGGACCTGCCTGGACTGAGTCTACCAGGTTAATCTCAGTACTCAGGGGAGGCTTTGCCCTGGAGGAGGTGGGAATGGGGGGTGGGCTGGGGGGAAGGGGAGGGGGCAGGGAGGGAGAACAAAAAAAAAAAAAGAATGCCCCCTTTGCAACCTCAGGAGCACTCTGTAGTAGATCAAGACACCTTGCTATGAGGAAACCTTGTTTGTCATTCCCGCCACTGATTCGGACCACACAACCCTTCCACACTTCACCCAGAGCACCAGCAGCCACTTCTGTGGCCATGCGCTTCTCATACAAAGTATAAAGCTTGCATTCTTCACTCACTCCAATGAGTTTCTGACAGGCAGAGGCTGGGAAAGAGATATTCAACCTCATTTTGACGCAGTCAACTGCTTAGGAGGTGCCGTGAAAAAGAGTCAGAAAATTATTTTAAAACAAAATAAACCTAACAAAAATGGATGGGAATTTTTTAATGTGTACATTAAAAGTAAAAAAAAAAAAAATGAGCTGGGCGGTGGTGGCACACACCTTTAATCCCAGCACTCAGGAGGCAGAGGCAGGAGGATCTCTGTGAGTTCGAGGCCAGCCTGGTCTACAAAGTGAGTTCCAGGAAAGGCTCAAAGCTACACAGAGAATCCCTGTCTCGAAAAACAAAAACAAAAAAGGTTAAAAATGGGAAATTTAATAAGTAAAAAAAGGAGCAGTTGGTGGGAAGATCTTGATTATTGTTTATAACATAATAGCTAACACATTAGTTGTAGCTACAAATACTGAAGGTATAACCTAGAATTAAAAATCGGCTTTCTTGCTCAGCCGGTTGTTTTGCTGAATTCAAATGATCTAATAAATAAAGCATTTTTGTCATCCTGCCCTCTAGGTACCAGTATTGAGTTCAGCTGCAATCCAATTTAGTTCCTTAAAATTCATGTCCATACCTCATGAAGGGCTCATTTTTTCATTTGCTTTGGCTGAAGTTTCTTATCTTGAGCACATTTTCTACTCTGTATCCCAAGGACTTTAAATTGTATTTTATATTTCTAATTAGGTTTTATATGCTTAGATACAATTAAATATAGCAGAAAGTAAAGAGTACAGCTTCAACTCTAACTTCAGTTCTCAATATTTCCAGTCATTGACCTCCATAAGCCTCTTGGTTTGCTTTGGTATAAAATGGGGATGGGGGATAAAGAGACCATTCATACAGCGTTATTGTGAGGATTAAGAGAGTTTAAGATGCAAAGGGCGTAGGCAGTGAGTGCTCCAGAAGGTTTCGCCTGTGCCATGTGGTGGTTTCCCAAAGAAAGTATTCCGTCCAGGAGGGGGTGGGAGGCTCATGAGACGCCGGAGGTAAACAAAAGGTGACAGGTACGGGAAAATGGAAACTCAGAAGATTCTCGAAGGCCCCTCCCCCAGAGTAAACAACTGTTTGGTGTGGAGGAGACTGACTGGAGAGCTGCGGAGGAGCAATTCTCAGACCACTGAACTGTCTGGAAAAGAAATGTGCAGAGAGCTACAGAGTTGGACTTGTGTGAGTCATCGCTGATGTTGGGTGGGTTTTGCAGGGATTCAGCCGTCTCTGAGTCATCTCGGCTCCTGTAAGTGAACCCCTCAACCATATTCCAGTAAGCAATCCCAGTGAAAACGCACTGGCATCAAGCTGGACTTCAGTGCCATTACTACTTTGGTCTGTCCTGGTTTTCTTTTCTAGGGTGAGTAGACATGTGTTTGTGTGTTGTGTCTCCCCAAGAAAAGCCCCCCCCACACACACACACATTGCTATTATTATTACTGCCACTACTGTTCCTTTTTAGTGATGAGGAAGAGAAGGAAGGAGAAATGTCGGTGGACCCTATCCTTGGTTTCGCTTTCCAAAGTTCCATTACCAGTCAACCATAAACTAAGTGTATGAAACAGGAAATGCTAGAAATAAACAATTCACAATTTTCAAATTGGGATTCATTTTAAACAGCGTGATGAATTTCCCACTGTTCTGATCCATTCCTCTGGAATATAAATTATCCCTTTACCGGTCCTTTTATTCATCCCCATTATCACTTAGTACCCACCTCAGTTATCAGCTTGTAGCTAGATGTCACAGGGCTCACTGTTCAACTTAACCCTTATTCTATTTAAAGATGACCTTGAGGGTCATGAGGAATGTTGGAGATTTGGATAGATCTAAGAGAAGCACAAAGTGCTCTTTTTAAATATCTCACACCATCCAAAAAAAAAGAAAATACTTTAAGATAAGCCTTATAAAGAAGTTCCCATCATTTTTACAGAATACTGTTTTAATTGTTCTATTATAGTATAAGCCATTTTTGATTGTACCTAAATTATAAATTTTATCATAATATATACGTATAGAAAAATATAGCTGTGCATACTACCTGGGATTCTAGGAATATGCTGGTGTGTGGTCATTTCTCCATGGATAGTGGGGACAACTATAGAGTGCTGATGCTGTCCATGTAATAAGCGACACAGCCATATGTATGGACAATACAGATTCACCAACACTTTGTGGTATCTCTTGAATTTTTTACCTCCTTAAGATATCATTTGAAGTAAGAAATCTGCATGTATCAACTTGATAACATTTTCCAATTCCTTCTATTATCTAACTGCTACAAGATAAAAATTCAAAAGGGGAGCTGGAGAGGTGGATCCACAGTTTCGGGTCCCAGCACCCATATCTGGTAGCTCACAATCTAGCTCCAAAGGGTCCAACACGTGTAGGATCCACAAATACTTAACATACACACAATTAAAAATAAAAATGAAGCTAACCAAAAGCTGTTCTTTTAAAAATCAATATAAAGAGGGAGGGAAGAGTGAAAATATTGGCACATAATACTAGGAGTTAAATACTTGAAAACACGGATATGAGAAACCAAAATTTCTTACCTTAACATGGAGAATCCTGTCAACACAATCTGAAAAGGTTTATAATCTAAAGTTAGTGATTGTCCTAGCTGTAGCATTTGATGTTAAATAATGAGAACTTTTCAAAGAAAATAATGCATTGCTCTTATCTCAGTTTAGACTTCAAAATGTTGGGCCCAGAAACTGAATGGATGAGAAGACTACACTGGACAATCTTAAAGTATGGAATAGGAGTTGATCTTCTGAACATAGCAGACCAGACTATCTAACATGTTCTCTAGAATAAATTTTTCATCTCCTGTGAAAAACTACTACATGCAATCTCTGGTTTCCAATGCTCCTTGTCACCTGAGTAAGCAGGAACTCAAATTCTCAGACACATTTTATAAATGTGTCCAGTCCATTCCTATGCATGGCTTTGAATGACTTTGAATGGTTCTGCATGGTTTTATACAGTTCTGCATTACTTTGCATGCTTCTGCATGGTTTTGCATGATTTTTCACAGTTCTGCATGATTCTACAGAGCTCTGAAGGGTTCTGCATAACTTTTACAATCTTTGGGAAATGGTTTGGTCCAGAGCATGGCTGACCATATCCCCCTTGTGTTTTCTGTGACAAGCAGCCACCATCAGAGTTCCATGCATCACACCAAATGATCATCAGATAAACAAGTACAAAAAAGTCTCTCTTTCTGTTTCATCATAGTAGTGGGTGTTAGCTAGGATATTCATTGAGAGATCTTAGATATAGAGGATAAGGTATTTTAGAAAGTGACTCAGATAATGGTACCTTTAAAACTCTTCTAGTAAGACTAGTGAGCAAAAGGTATTGGGGGTGAGCATCACTGATTCAAAGTGTGTACAAAATATCAGTATGTTACTACCATGCACAACCCTCTTTGGAGGAGATACTAAACCTAAGTAAATATTAAATTACTTCACCGAAGTAAATGTTTATGTAAATCATTGTACTCATATAGAAAATCGCCTTGATGTGCTCACTAACAGTGTTAGGGCAGCCCCCACTATCCAAGCAGCTGGTTTATTTTGCTCAGAAATCTGCCATCCTCACGGAGACTTCTCATAAAGCTCCTGTTGTTAGTGACAGAAGCAATGATCATTTGTTTAGAGCAAGAGGAAGAGATTGCTTGCTTCATTCAGCTACCGATTTGTTGTAGGTCATAACTGATCAAATAATGAAACAGTGAACTAAAATTACTCTAATAAATTTTCCTGGTACTCAGGACATTCTTGTTTTTTAAGCTTCTCTTCACTTTTTTCTGTGCTTGAAGGCCCATGAAATGGGTTACATCTGAGGGTAGAATGAGCACAGGAAGAACACAGAAATGATTTCAATAACTACATTGACCTGGAGCAAAGCTTGGTGATAGTCCTTGCCTAGCATGTTCCCAAGAAGTACAAAAATATTAATAAATAAATAAGTACATTGGTGTAATGGTCTTGACTATGTTTCTCATAATCCCAGGGTGTTTCCCAGATGATGAGACAAAATGGAAACAAATAATGTAAAGGAAAGGCTACATTTAATAAAACAATAAAGGGAAATATGCCTGAGCTTAGTTCTTTAGAGAGAAATAACTTTCTCTGACTGTAGGTCGCAAATATTGGTAGAAGGTTCACAGTTAGCTGTACCCTAGGGACAATTATGAATTGCAATGATAAAAAAATCCCATAAGCTTCCATAAAGAAAAATAAAATGGGTTGTCTACAAAATAAAAAGAACTAGGCTGTCTTTACTTTTTGTCTGCAAGATTAATGTTGGAAAGCAATAGAGCAATGTCACCTCATTAAATATAAAAGGATGTGACCATGGGGCTGTACTCAGACAAGCTTCATCTGTGTGAACTGGCAAAAGAATGCATTTTCAGACACAACGGTGTTCAGAAAATGCAGAGCCCACTCCCCCCTTTTCAGTATTTCTTGAGGAATCACTCAGAGGAAATAAAGAAAAAAAGAAACAGCAAAGCTATCAACCAAATATTTTGAGACTCTTGAAAGTATAATGTAAAATCTCATGGATTAGAATTCAAAAATCTTGACAACTTATTTAAAGAAGAGAGAATGAAAAATAAGACCACAGTGGTTCATTTTGTGAGTGTGTGTGTGTGTGTGTGTGTGTGTGTGTGTGTGTGTGTGTGCGTGCGTGCGTAGAAGCTATCTGAATTCTAAGGACTGGGATAACTAATACTTCTGTTTTTAGAGAGAGAGTGATAATACAGAAAGGTGTCTTCTGTATTGGTCAATACCTACTTTTTCTTTTGCTCATACCTGGTTAGGTAATATAGTAAAATCGGGCGGCGGTGGCGCACGCCTTTAATCCTAGCACTCAGGAGGCAGAGGCAGGCGGATCTCTGTGAGTTTGAGGCCAGCCTGGTCTCCAAAGCGAGTTCCAGGAAAGGCACAAAGCTACTCAGAGAAACTCTGTCTCAAAAAAACAAAATAATAATAATAATAATAATAATAATAATAATAATAAATAGTAAACAGCATCATATAACAGAGGCTTCAAGGTTCCTTGTGAAGTCTGAGTTAGGTAAGCACCTCATTGGCCCTCCTGGGTTACAAAAAACTGTGGTTCTGAGTTCACACAGGCATCTCCTGTTGCATGCTGTCTTTTTTACATCTTTGTTCATCAGACTCCTTACTCAGGGACCTTATGAGGAGACTAACTGTAACTGAGTGTAGCACTCGGGCATCACCGGGACCTTATTTTAACACTGTCCAAAATGTCACTACTCACAAAATACCAGCACTCACTAAGACTCTACAGTCTGCTCCCCAGTAGAAATTGACAGGAAAGATTTTACCTATGCTCATCTAGAGTTATTTTCAAGCCAGAAAATCATGATGCAGAGAATAACGAATGTTTAAGATACAATCAGATGAATCTACCAAGATTTATCATATTTGTAGTTTTTTATACATTCAATGGTTTTGTAGCTAAATGCCACCTTCACAGAGGAAGGAATATTTCAGGTCATAACCTCACTATATTTTACAAGAGTTCTCAGGCGCAGAGCAAAGGGAGTTCCTTTTGGGGGCCCATTTGCTACCATCCCCAGTGTGATTCTGAGGTAGGCCTGCCAGGCAGACACACATTACTTGAGAGGCCTGTTCTCTCCTCATTTACAGTGACTTTCACAATTCTGGCACAGTTCTATTGCATGAAAATTTACTCATACTTTTGCATATATATCCCAAAGCAATAAACTAAAAATAAAAATCTATGAATATGAAGATATTCTTTGTGATGTTCTTTATAATACTGAAAGCAGCAAACAGCTTTAATGCCTGAAAATATAAAAATAGCTATGTAAATTATGACATTTAATTCTCTCTGTGGATTATTATGCAACCATTAAAATTATAATTATAAGAATATATCACAGTTTAGAAATATTTTGATGTAATGGAATAGAAATAAAGCAAAAATAGAGAACCCAAAATTATACTAACCCTAGCCATTTTAACTTTACAAAATAACTACAATTCAAATAATCAATAACCACAGGGAAACCTAGATATATAGAAATTTATTTTTGGGAAATGGTAGAATTCTTGAAATCATAATTAGTCTTTTGCTTTCTTGTGATCATGGAAACTGAACCCAGGACTTAGTACATGTGCTAAGCAAATGTTTTACCATGAAGCTACACCCCAGACCTAGGATTTTTATTATTTCCAATTTGTTTTGTTTTTATTTAGTGCTTCAAATTTTTACTCAGATATCTAATACAGATGTTTTAGATTAAAACACAGCACCTGTTGTATGGAAGTCACTTTGCCAAACATATGTGGCAGT